GTTTTAATGTTTTTTGTAGGTCGCCCAGAGTCCCCTATTGTGGGGGAGATGGGCGGCAGAGAAATCCAATAAAATAAATAAATAAAGAATAATGCCTAAGATACAGTAAAAGTGAATATCATTTACTTGATTTCAGATACAAATATTTTGATACAATGCAACTGAAGTAATAACTGATGACAGTTTATTACAAATTCTAAGGTAACCCAGCCACTATTTGTCTGTTACTGACAGATATTAATGTAATGGCTACAGATGGGGGGAAAGTGAAAATTCCTGTTATAGCAATGGTTTATCTAAATGTTCTCTTAAAGTATGCTTTTTAAAAATTTAAACTGCAAAACTCCCTATCCAACACTGACATTTACATACTGAGCTGTTTCCAGGATTCTAAACATCTGCATTATTTATATCCTGCCTTTTCTCAATAAATACTTTCACTGTAACATTATTTACATAATACAGGAACTAGCAGCAGAGCTCAACATAAAAAAATAGGGATATATGAAAAAGTATGCTTGAACAGTAGGAGTTAATAGGAATGATAATAGAAAGATATACTGTAAGATGGGACTTGAAGGCAGTTGCACAGTATTAAGCATAATATAGCTCTACTTATAGTGTGTCTGGTAAAAGTGGGGAAAGAAATTAAATTATATCCAGGAATCTATTCCCATTTACGGATTCTAAAAGGACTGAAAACTTTCACATTTTACACATTACAAACTTCCTACTGTAGATTGGTGTTTATTCGTTAAGAGTTTCTTTTAAGCACAAAACGTGGGCCTCAATCTACTTTAGCGCCTCATGCCATCAAGAGGTCATAAAGTCACCTTCCAACAGCGTGGAGGTGCTGGGTGAAAACATGCACTTAACCTCAGCGCCACAGCAAGCTTCCACGCCGGACTGTGACTGGGAGACTCCCAAGAACAAATTCCCCGCTCAGCCACCCGTGAAATTCCCACACTCCTCCACGTGGGCATGTTTTGGACACGTGACGGACCTCACGGGGGGAAATCCCACCCCCGGAGCCTAGTGGAGGGCGAGGATGGCCCCTTCACTTGCCCAAGTAACCGACGAGGGAGGAAGGGTAGGAGAGAGGGTGTTCGTGTGAACACGAGGCGAGGGTCGAACCCAGGCCTGAGTCTTCCCACCTGTCAGCTTTATCCTGTTCATTGAGGTCGTGTTTCTGCAGGAGGTGTCGGAGTTCCCCGAGGTCTCCCTCGGCCGCCGCTCGGTGCAGCTTACTCAGGTCCCTGCTGCGCGTCTTATTCCCCCCCCCG